TAGACAGGCAGAATGGATAATTTAGGACTACTTACCCCATACCAACACATACATTATTTTAATTGCTTACTCTGAGTTATTTAGCTGGTTCATATATATTTTTTTTAAATGCAGCCACTCTGAACTTTTCTCCTTTTTCTCCAATGGTTTATTTAACAAAAATACTTTTAGCCCATTAGTGTTCCCATGATACAATCTCATCTGAATACTTATAATCAAAAATCATAAAGTTATCTGAACATATATTTTCCACATACAGCATTCAAAATGCATCTGTCATTTGCTGAGAACCACAAATAAGGCTTGTTGCTATGTTCCTTCACTACAAAGATTTTTTTAAAATTTTATTTCAAGAAAATATAAAAGTATGAACATTTGGTTACATTTTATATCTTTGCCTATCCCTAGCAAGGGTTAGAGGTATGCCCTTTCCCTCCATAATGCTCACTGCTACAAAGAATTTAAAAGTGCTGGTGATATTATGGTGTTCAATGATCAGAGTTTTCATTTCAACCAAAGATAAATACCCCATTTTTGAAGAAAAAAATAAACTCTATACAAGGGGAGAAGTTTCTGTACTACTTGTTTATTCACATTTTTTAGGCATATATTAATTACCAAAAAAAAATTTTAAAAATCTATTTCTGTAAGAATTTACTCAGAAACTATAATATACTAACTTTTAAGTACACCTTACAAATAATGCTTTTTACAGTCTTGCAAGGTTAAATTTACAAACTAAAATCTCCATATTTCTTTTTTCATTGTTTTTCAATATATTCCCTTGCAACATAAAGTACAATAGTTATATATTTTTTTAATATTAATTAGTTTTCCAGAATATAAAGATAAAAATATTTAAGGCCTTTCCACTGGAGCTAAAATATTAATGTGAATATTTCCACAGGCCAAATAATGAAAAGAATAAAACAAATACAGAAGTAAGGTTTATTTTTCAATAAGCTTATTGATAAATAAAACATTGATTCACTAAAATTTTGTAAATATATCGATTTATCATATTCTCATTCTTATCATGTATCCTCTTTTGAAATATATAAAAAAACTTCTATAAGCTAGAATTTAAAATAAGGTAAGCTCACCTTTGGGAGGGATTGTATACCTGGCACTTATGATTAGGGACTTTTCTTTTAACAATAAAAAACAATTAGTATTATTTTTAAACAATGATTCTATGACTTTAGAGCTTAAAATGTTTGTTTGCACATGCTATCAAAATGGGGCAAGTTTTGTTCATTTAGATTATCATGCCATGCCCCTTACTGTGTGATTTGTGGAAAAGTTACCACCACAAATGACAAAGCACCTGCTACTACCTATTCTCATTCCTATGAGAGTGCCTATCTTTGATGCTGCTAAAGATCACATTACATATAAGATTCTGCAGTTGAAAAGGCCAGTGGAAAGCTGTAAACTGAAAGGTCATACCTGATGTGACTCAGAGAATGAAAATAGTTCAGTTGTTGCTAATTATCTCCCATCTTGTCAAATCTACATGCTCTTTGATAAATGTTTGAAAGTTACATTTCACAAAACGAAATGGCCCAATCTACTTTGAGTACATCTTTAGCATGGTCTCTGATGGGAGTCTGAGTTGTGCTTATCCTTAGTATGCAGACACATGGATGTGTCTGGTAAATTAGTGGTATTTAAATAAGAATTCTCTTGAATTCTCTGAGAATTCTCTTGGTAAATTAGAAGATGATTCAGGGAATGATTTTATTATTCTGGTTGCCTTCTAATCTTCTCAGCAAAGATTTATTTCTGATTCACATGGTAAAGAAAAGTTTATCTGAGAAATACTAAAAGCAATTAACAAAAGAAATGTTTCTAAAATCTCCATGGGCCATTGAGGGCAGCAGACTCAGGAGACCTGAAAATGATAGCTCTGTTAACTAATAGAAATGTTGACAGTAAATTTCAGGTGAAACACACAATGGAATTGGCACTTTGGCACGAACATCCATAAGTCAGAGAGTGAGAACAACTTGAAAGAAAATAGTGGATTGCAAACAGATAACCTTCAAAGACATCTCAAGATTTCTAAGCAAAATAGTAATTATAGTTGTGTTTGGTGTAAGAGACATAAATGTCTGCAAATGGAAAATATAAATGTCTGTTAAATGGGAAGATCACCAGACACATATAAAATGTTTACACAACTAAACAATGCATACTGTTATATCCCTAGAATGATTTTTAGAAAATCTTGCAAGTGATTCAGTTCAGTTTCTTCATATTAGAAACACGGAACTGAAGGTATTTATAGGTATATACGAAGGTAACTTTTCCAAGACCCCTGTCACTTAGATCTACAACTAGACTCTAAGTTTCTTCTCCTAACCCTGAGCCTATTTTACTATATTCCATTGCCTCTAGTAGAATATTCAATTCATCAAGTATTTGTTAAATACCTCCTGTATGAAAATTATTAAGCCTTATACTTAAGTACAAAGTTTCTGCATTAAATAGTGAAACTTTGTAGGAGACATAAAGTCAAGAACCTCAAATTGTCCTGATGTGCAGAATAGCTTTATATAGTACTCTGTTTTCCCAAAACTATGAAATCAGCTCCCTATGATATCAAATCTTTTCCAATAAGTAACTAACACATGGTAACAATCTAAAGATGAATCATATAATGGAAAGAGGAAAGAAACAAATATATGTTCATACTTCAGCAGTAGGGAATACCAGTAACTGCAGGAAATAACCATGTAAAATGCATTACAGGTTGGCAGCAGACATTGCCTTAGAATGTGAATTTGCTTTCCCTCTAAAATGTGCCCATTTTTTTCATCATGCACTTGCTAAATAAGAAATGTCGTTAATGCTGTGATATAAATTGTTCATTCTACCTTGGAAAACAGATATTATTTAAATATTCACAATAACACTAGTCTCCAATTTGCACTGGCAGGTGGGTATTCAGTCCAGACAAACACAACCTACCAAAATGACATGTAAAAACCACTCAATCATTTACATTTTGCAAAGTGATATGTCATCTTGATATTTGTTAAAATGAATATATTTCAATGGTTTGACTATTCAAGTTTCTATAGTATTTAAAAACAATTTTGAACATATTTCTTGGAGTAGGTTATTTATACATATTAATCTTTTTATTAATTCTCTCTGAACTTCTGCTTAAGTCTTCTCACTAAGCTTTCTCCATCTGTTCTCCTGAATGATCACCCAGTCTTTCATTTTCAGTTTATGGCCTCTTTAGCAATGTCACCATAGCTTTTAAGAAATTTAGTAATCCCTTTTTATTGGCTAACCTAACCCTCATTCTCAACCCTCTTTTTGCTCCATTGTCTTCACTATAAAAGCTATGAAAGACATGTCACATAGTTTTTGAAAATCAAACATAATCTAAAATCAACATGGTGCTCTTGGAGTAAATATTACTGCTAATCTTTTTAGGGCATGAGAGTTTTAAGAAATACCTATAAAATAAATCTGAGTCGCTTCATTTAGAAAAGGTGGTTAGAAACACAATAAAAGATGATTATCCCTTTTGACAAGAGATTAACAGGAATCAAATTTACCTTCACATGTCATAAAATAGAAAAATATATAAACAATAGCTTTCAGACATTGAATAATATATTGTATACTACTGTGACCAGAGAAAGAAAGAAAAAATATCAAAGTGTATTTAATTCCCCCAGTTTACTGCCTAGAGTCCATTGTCTAGATGAAAGTGCACAATAGGAACCTAACCACTACAAACTTGCTGAGTTTTGGAGATAAAGATCAAAGGGCAAGGAGAACAAGGCAACTAGAATTTGCAGAGCAGATTGTTAGAGACAAAAAAAAAGTTAACTGGAGAGAATGATAGGGAGATAAGGAGAAGGGGACTCTGAGGCTTTGGGTAAGTATTGGTCTGTACATATATGAGACTAAACTAAGACTGGGGAAAGAACCATTGGAAAGCAATTGGCAGAACAATTTCCAGAGTTGATATTGTGTTGGAAACTATTTGTGTCCTATCCAGTCAAACTGAAAGACTTCATAATACACAGGGCATCATCAAACCACCTTGTATCAAACCAGAATGATACTTTCTACTTGCCTATGCGAGTTTACAATCTATCCCCAAAGATAGAATCCTTAGAATGGTATCACTTTAGTAATTGAAAGCTTCTTTTTAACCATCTTGAAAAGTCCTTTATTTTTTATAAAAGGCCCCATAATATCAAACTGATTCCTACTAATTTAAGTATGTCCAGATCATAGATCAGCAAACAAATTTAAAGAAATATGACAACATTCAAAATCCATCTATGTAAAATTCACAACATCTAGACTGATTCAAACTGAGCCAGACATACAAAGAAACTAGAATATGCAATCAATATCCAGGAAAACAACAGCAATAAAAATTAATCAACAAATAAAAAGCAAAATCGTATGATCTCAAAAGATGCAAAAAGAAAAAAATTAACACAATTCAATACACATTTATAATCAAACTCTTAGAAAACTTTAAAAAGGAAGATAATTTCCTTAATTTATTAAAGAAATCTTCAAAATATATAGAGCTAACATCAAATTTAATGGTAAAAAACTGAATTCCTTTCCCTGAATACTTGCAACAAGAAATGTATGTCCACTTAACTACTACAATTCAATATTGTAACCTGAAGTTCCAGCCAATGAAATAAGATAAGAAAAAGATATACAAATAATACAGATTGGAACAGAGAAAAACTACCATTATTTGTAGGTGATCAAATAATAAGTGTTGAAAACCCATCTATAAAAATACCTCTAGAATTAGTAAATAAATTTAGAATGGTCACAGGATAAAATGTTAATATAGAAAAACTAAACATATTATTATTTAATATATGATTAAAAATTGAAATAGAAAACAGTTTATTTTAGCATCAAAAATGTAAAATACTTAGAATAATTAAAAAAAAAAAAAACATAAGTAGAACTGTACAATGGAAACTAGAAAGTATTACCTGGTCAGATCAGCAGTGATGGTGGTGGAGTAAGGTCCTTCTAAAAGTTACTCCATAAAAGTAATGTGCTGAAATTAAAAACAAAAATTTAATTAAACAAATAAAATAAAATGTTTATATAAAAAAGAGCAATAACAACACTGGAAAAACATATGAAAATTGAACTTTTTTCAGAATTCTGGAATATAAGCAAAAGTTTGCAATAATCAGATGCATATTTATTAAAGAAAAACAGCTGAATCTCACTAAGAAAAGTTGAATTTTGATAAGAAAAGAAAGCATGTTTACTTCTTCTATTCTCAGCTCCTTCTCCCTAGTTTCATAGCTCTGCTGATGTAGTGAAAACCTGAAGGCTATCAGCTGCTAGAGTAGATAACACAGGTTTGGAAACTCCCTCAAACACTATTTTCAGAGTATTGTTATTATTTGATATATCTGTTAATTCCCTGGAAACCCCCATTCACAGGCTTGTCTTCATTTGACCTGAACTAGAATTTGCTCAGTGGAAACAGCTTTTCCACACAGGCATTTGTGAAAAATAATTGGTGGCAATTATTTAATACTACTACTTTTTGACAGTGATAATAATTTGGCAAAACAAAAAGCTGACCAAACATCTTAAGATGAAGAACTGGAAATGAAATGTCCATAAGGTACTTTGAAAATCTCTAAAATATTCCTAGGAATCTAGATGTGTAACTTTACACGTATAGAGTTATGCTTATCAGTAGCGTTGTGAGGATGCACAGTAGAGACATCAGAAGTCTCTAAGATCTCTGTTGGGCAGTGGCTCACACCTGTAAGCCCAGTATTTGGGAAGCTGAGGTGGGAAGGTTGCTTGAGCCCAGGAGTTTAAAGATCAGGTTGGGCAATACAGTGAGACCCTGTCTCAAAGAGGAAAAATAAAAATACAGAGAGAGAGAGAGAAAAGTCTCTAAGATCTCACCTCTGAGGTTGACCTTGAAGTTAAACATAAGCCGAAAGGGAAGAATAAGGCATAGTTATAAACTGTCTGCCTGTGTATTGGTGGTATGATGCAACACACATACAGAGTAACTTGGCAAAACCTGGGAAATTCGTTGATCCTGGGCGCTTAGGAAAACTCTGTCCAATTATTAGCTGGCCACTAGGGTAGTTACACAGAGACTTTGGAAGTGGCCCCTGAGTGAATCTATAATGCATTGTCATCCATTCTCATCTTGCACCCACAAAATGGAGCTACCGTTTAAAACCAAGCTCTGACTTTCCCCTCAGGAGTCTCTGAGGGAAGATACTGGTGTGATATCAGTGGGGGTCCTGAGGGTCTGGCCTGCGGGCTCATGAAACATGCTTGTGCCTTGGCCCTTCTCAGGCTCAATTCTTGATGCACCACTTATGCCTTCCAGTGGATTGCTTGTGGGTACCCCGTTATGACTTGAGGGTCTGATGGGACTTAGCTCATGATGAATAATTCTGGTGGAATGGTCACTTGTGGTTCCATTTCTACCAGGGACAGACAAAATGACAGGGATTGTTTTTCAAAAGGTGCATATTTCTCTACAGCAGAAGACATGGCCTCCCCCCAGTCCCCAGAGGGCCTATGCTGTGATTCTCCCATGGGGTGTTCTACAGACTCCACACATAGTCTTCCTCTCTATCAATACCTACAGTACTAATGCACATGAGGTGAGATGGCAGTGGAGGAGGTTGAATGACTCTGAGAATACACACACACACAAAATACTGAATTGAACACCTTATAACTTCAAATGTATGGCATATAATTTAATCTCAATTCAATAAGAAATATTTTTGAGATAACTTAAAATAAACCTAAATAAGTAGAGAACTATGATCTATTCACTATTTAGAATATTGAATATTGCTAAAATGTCACTTCTCTCCAATTGATCTATAGGTTCAATGCAATCCTATTCCAAATCCTGGTAGGCTTTTTAATAAATATTGATCAGCTTATTCTAAAATTTTTATAGAAACATATATGACTAGACTAGCCAAACATAATTTTAAAAATAAAAATAAAGGTGGAAGACTTATGATATCTGATTTTAAGATATACCATAAAATGACAGTAATCAAGAGAGTCTTGAAATTGACCCATGTATATACAACCAATTGAATTTTCAAAGAAATATATGAAGTCCTAAGTGTGAAAGCCTAGAATATAAGAGTTCTTGATGAAAACATTGAAGAAAATAATAGTTTTGTTAGAATAAAATTACAAGCCATAAATGAAAAAAAAATAGTGAAAATAAAAATGTTAATGTTTTAAAAGGTAATGTTAAGAAAATGAATAGGCAAGTCACAGAAGGATAGAAAATATTGGCAAAATATGTCTGATAAAAGACTTGTTTCTAGATAAAAGATTTTTCCAATTCTAACAAATAGATAAAAATTAGACATTTTAAAAATCAAGACATTCAAATGGAAAAAATCATATGAGAAGAGGCTCATTTCTAATTTAAGAAATGAAAATTAATTTCACATTGAGATATCACTGTACTTTCCCTAGAATTTATACAATCAGAGGCTGAAAACAGCAAATGCAGGAAATGACGGGAAACAATAAGAACTCTCATATGTTGTTAGTAAAATATACAATGGTATGGAAGATTTTGAAAATAATTTGATTGCTTCTTAGTCTTTCTCTATGACCTACTAACTTCATTTCCAGGTATTTCTTCAAGCTATGTGAAAATGCATGTTCACACAAAAACTTTTATTCAAATGTACACAGCAACTTTATTCTCAAAAGCTCCAAATTAGATACAACTCAAATTATCATTAATTTGTGAATGGTAAACAGATGGCGGTTCATCCATACCATGAACTACTACTGAGCAATAAAAGGGAATTAACTACTGATACAGAAAATTAATTAATTAATTAATTGATTAAAGTAGAAGCATCCAGACAAAAAGACTACATACCTGCTTATATGAAGTTGTGAAAAAGTCAAATCTAGAGATAGAAAGTAGGTTTGTGGTTGTAAGAAACTCAAGATTTCAATAAAAATAAGAATGAGGAAAATTCGTGTTGATCAATATATTCTATATCTATGTTGTATTATAGGAATATAATGTATACCACATGTGTAATTTAAAAAATTCTAGTGGCTACTTTAAGAAGGTAATGAGAAAGAGATGCAACTAGATTTAATTATGACATATATCTCATTTAACCCAACGTCACTGACCATGCTGCACTAGCCACATTTCAAATGTTCAAGCACTACATATGTCTGGTTGCTGCGATATTCAACAGTGCAGTTCCATATTATGATTTTGGTGGTTTGACCTTATACTCAGATCCTATACATTTGACAAAACTCATAGAATTTTGTACTTAAATTTATACATTTTAGGGTACATAAATTATGCATAAAAAGCTAATTAAAAACAAACAATAAAACAACAAAAACAATAATAAGAATCAAATACAATCACTATTAAAATTCCAACATCATTTTTTGCAGATCTAGAAAAACTAATTCCATGCTTCATATAGAACCAGAGAATACTCCATATAGCAAAAGCAATCTTAAGCAAAAAGAACAATTGAGAGGCATCAATTTACCACACTTCAAGTTATACTACAAGGCTATAGTAACTAAAACAGCATGCAATTGGCACAAGAACAAATGGAACAGGATTGAGAACCCAGTCATAAAATCATCCTCATATAGCCATCTAATATTTGACAAAGCAGACAAAAACATACACTGAGGAAAGAATCCTTATTCAATAATGGTGCTGGGAAAATTGTATAGCCACATGCAGAATACTGAAACAGGATCTCTCACCTCACACACCTCTCACCTCTCACAAAAATCAACTCATGGTGGATAACAGACTTAAACTTAAGGCATGAAACTACAAGAATTCTAGAAGACAGTTTTGGAAAAACTCTTACAGACATTGGCATAGGCAAAGAATTTATGAAGAAGACCCCAAAAGCAATCACAGCAACAACAGCAACAAAAAAAATAAGTAAACAGGACCTGATCAAATTAAAAAGCTTCTGCACAGCCAAAGAAACTATCACGAGAGCAGACAACCTACGGATTGGGAGAAAATATTCACACGTTACATATCCGATAAAGGGCTAACTAGAATCTATATAGAACTCAGGAAAATCAGCAAGAGAAAAACAAACAACCCTATCAAAAAGTGGGCAAAGGACATGAACAGAAACTTTTCAAAAGAAGATAGACTAATGGCCAACAAACATGAAAAAATGCTCAAAATCTCTAATCAACCAGAGAAATGTAAATCAAAATGACAATGAGATATCAGTTAACTCCAGTGAGAATGCCCTTTATCAAAAAAGTCCAATAAATGTTGACATGGATGTGGAAAGACAGGAGCACTCATACACTGCTGATGGGACTTCAAACTAGTACAACCTCTGTGAAACATAATATGGAGATACCCCAAAGAGCTACAAGTAGAACTACCATTTGATCCAGCAATCCCATTACTGGGCATCTACTCAAAAGAACAAAAGACATTCTATAAAAAAGACATCTGTACTAGAACGTTTATAGCCGCACAATTCGCAATTGCAAAGATTTGGAAACAACTGAAGTGCCCATCAATACATGAGTGGATTAATAAAATGTGGTATATGTATACCATAGAGTTCTACTCAGCCACAAAAAACAACGGTGATACTACTCTTGTAGTATCCTGCATAGAACTGGAGCCCATTCTACTAAGTGAAGTATCACAGGAATGGGGGGGAAAAAGCACCACATATACTCACCATCAAATTGGTATTAACTGATCAACATTTAAGTGCACATATAGTAATAACATTCATTGTGTATTGGGCAGATGGGAAGAGGGAGGAGGGGATGGGTATATACACACCTAATGGGTGCGGTGTGCACCATCTGGGACATGGACACGCTTGAAGCTCTGAATTGGGTGGGGCAAAAACAATATATGTAACCTAAACATTTGTATCCCTGTAATATGCTGAAATAAAAATATTTAAAAAATAGAGTGAATAACTCCTTTGTATAATTTCAGAATATACATAATACATTCATATATATGTGTGTTTA